TATTCTTTAGAAGACATTTGAAGGAAGCCCTGTCTGTATAGGGAAGCCTTTTAATGTTTTATTATGTCAGATGGGTGGGTACAAATAATAAAATCATCTTTATCATCATTACTAACACAATATTTGAGCCCCAGAAGGCTCAGCTGCTTTTTATGTTTTTAATTTGTACCAAAACTGTGAGAGACATCTTACTAGCTAGAAACCTTTCACTTGCTCCTCAGCTTTCTACTGTTACAGTGGTACCTCGGTTTTCAAACGTAATCCGTTCTGGAAGACTGTTCTGAGTTCTGAAACGTTTGAAAACCAAGAACTCAATAGCCAACAGCTAGGCCTCAGAATCTTGCACTCAGTTGTGTGGCATGTTCAACTTCTGAGGCATGTTCAAAAACTGAAGCATTTACTTTCAGGTTTACAGTGTTCCAAAACCGAAATGTTCGTCAATGGAGACGTTAAAAACCGAGGTACTACTGCACCAGAATGGCGGCCATTTTGCCAACTACTGTATGTGATTATGAGAGAGAAGAGAACCCTAGACTTCACATGCTGATCCTGCAATGGATTGTGTTCTTACCTGGTGGACAACTCCTGTTAATTCCTTCTTCACTGGTGGCCCCTGTGCTCAAAGTTTGCTTAAAATGTTTCTTCTTAACAGGGCGGGTGATTGCCACAGAGTGATGCACACAGTCCTAACAATTTTGGGGGAAAGAAAAAAAACATTGTTAACAGAAGAAATGCTAAAAATTGAATTGTTTTGGGCAAAAGTACTGTACCTAAAGGCACGTGAAAATAAATATACTTGAACAAAGCAGGGGTGCAGTTTGCACATAATGCTAAGCCAAACTATAGCTAAATGTAAACATGTAAGCATTTGCATACTCTGAACAAATGTTGGCTATTTCACTCTTCCCCAATTGCTAAGATATGCTTTGATAGTCTCCCCCTCCATATGTTATGGTGGTTACTTCAGAGAAACCCCAGACAAACAGTTATAAATTCTTACATGAAGCAGCTTTCCACAGGATTCTGTTCATAATAAGTCTGCATCTTTACAAGTAACACTAATAAACTATATCCTTATCACTTTTGAAGTTGCCAGTAGTACATGTGAAAAGGATCTAGGGGTCTTTGTAGACCACAAACTTAACATGAGTCAACCGTGTGATGCAACAGCTAAATAAATAAATAATGCCAATGCTATTCTAGGCTGCATAAACAAGTATAGTGTCCTGATCAAGGGAAGTAATAGTCCCTCTATATTTTGCCTTGGTCAGACTACTGTGTCTAGTTCTGGACACCCCAGTTTAAACAGAATATTGACAAGCTAGAATGTGTGCAAAGGAGGGTGACCAAGATGATGAAGGGTCTGGAAACCAAGCCTTATGAGGAATATGGGTTGAGGGAGCTGGGTATGTTTAGCCTGGTAAAGAGGAGAGAGAGGAGATATGATAGCCATCTTCAAATATCTCAAGGGCTGTCACATGGAAGAGGGAACAAGCTTGTTTTCTGCTCCAGAGGGTAGGACCTGAACCAATGGATTGAAGTGACAAGAAAGATTCCAACTAAAAATCAGGAATAACATTCTGACAGAGTTGTTCAACAGTGGAATAGACTGCCATGAGAGGCAGTGGTCTCTCCTTTCTTGGAGGTTTTAAAGCAGAGGTTGAATGACCATCTATCATGTTTGATCTAGTTGACATTCCTGCATTGCAAGGGGTTGGACTAGACCAGTGGTGGCCAAACTTGGCCCTCCAGTTGTTTTTGGACTACAACTCCCATCATCCCTAGCTAACAACTCCCAGGCCATAGCTGGACTAGACCCTCAGGATCCCTTTCATTCTATGATTCTAAGTTTTTTATAATTATCTCCTGTATAATTATCCCTCTAGCAGGCAAAATTTCCATTGGAAAAATGACCTCTTTATAAAACAGCTAAAAAGTGAGCAGTTGAAAACTAGTGTACAGCATGATCTAGCAATCTAAAAGACTTCCTAAAGATTACTCTGCCCCATCATAGTAAGAGTTGTGATGCCAAACCAGACACTTAAAGTTCAAGATACAAGATAACTAAATAAGTACTTTGAAGAGTAAGTAAAAGCTTTTGTTTAGCTGTATTGTAAAAATAATAATAATCTTTCCCAAATGTATGCTCTTACCAGCAATGACATTCTGCTCCCAATAATGGCAGGTGAAAGGACCAGGATGTACAGAATGCTGCAATAGTTTGTGGGATTGGGCTGTAAAAACATAGCCTCACACACGTTCCCTAAAAGTGCTTTGACATAGGCCACAACCCTTCATAGTACCTTTTCCTTCCATTTTGAAATGCAGTTCCTGGGTTCGACTGGTTTGGGCATCTGCTCAATTTCTGCAAGCACAGTCGCCAGCTTGAAGTGGTTTGCATGCAGAAGGATAACTTTCAGAGATGTCTAGTAATACAGATAGTTTTTTAAAAAATAAAAATACTATTAGTAAAATGGTATTTTGCTTCATGTTGATTTCGGGTGGGGGCAGGGGTTGACCCTGGGGATGGGTGGATCTCAATTTCAATTTCCCTTCATTTCCCCTTTTTTCCAATCTATGTTCAGTTCAGTTCTACACATTTTCACACGTTTGCAGATTTTTCTTAATACGCTCACGTTTGTATGCAAATTTGCCTGTTAAAAGATATTTTTTGCAAAGCAATTCCCTCAATATAATTACACAATCAGACTTCCGGTTTAAAATGTACTACTTCTCTTATGATCTCTTGTCCTAAAATAAATCACACCCAATTTGGCAGGTTATTCTATTCCAAACCTGCCCAGTTGATTTTCTAGTGATTGTTTGAGGCATGGGCATTAGCTATTAGTAAAAGCTGGATGTGAACTGAACACAAATTAAGCCCAGGCAGGCATTAAAAAGATGGTATAAAACTAATTTACAGATTACAGTCAAAAAATGTTACCTCATCAAGCTGCTCAGTGATATCATTCTGATTCTTTGCATCTGAGAACTGTGGAGATTCCGTATAAGCGTTAAGCATTCGTTCCAGGCCTTTAAAAAGAATATTGAAGGAATAACCATTTATAAAAGATTAAACAATCTGTACTATAGTGTTTCTTCCCACACACAGAACCTTTACTAATCTTTCATGCATATGTCTCTGGAAAACAAATGCTTCATAAAATGTTTCTGGAAATCAACTGTAAAGCATTATAGTGCCATTAGAAAACTCCCAGGACATATTTATTTATTTATATTAAAAAATTAAGAGCTGCTTTTTGGCTCAATAGGCCACAGAGTGGTGTACAATCATATTGTGATAAAGCAGACAAGGTAATAAAAGACGCAGCAATAGCAGTCATCTGGAGGACCCAAGATGATCAACTGTTCAAGGGGAACAAATTAACCTAAATTAAATACTGCCTTTATTAACTTTCAAAATGGCAAGAAGGAAGAGGCTAGCCAGCCTGGACTATTAAGGGCAATTCTTCTGTTAGCTAAGGGTGACTCGTGCATTTATTGTTTGCTTTCATTCGCTCGCTATCCACCACGGAAGATGCAACAGGTTGCCAGTTGTTTCCACACCAATTCAAGTGTTTAAAACCCTAAATGGCTTAGGCCCCAAATATACGAAATACTATCTCCATCCCTACTGGCCCTTCTTGCTAAAGCACATCAGAAGTATGAGGAATGGCAGCCTGAGAGGGCTTTTTCTGTGGCAGCTCCAAAAATATATACAGTCGTACCTTGGAAGCCAAACGGAGTCCGTTTGACTTCCAAAACGTTAGACACCCAAGGCACGGCCTCTGATTGGCTGCAGGAGCTTCCTGCAGCCAATTGGAAGCCGCAGAAGCCCTGCCGGACGTTCAGCTTCCAAAAGTGTGGGATGTAAGAATCAGGGCGTGGCCTCTCTTGAAGTAGAAAAGAATCACAGGCTGGTGATCATCTTGTCTCTATCGATGCCATCTTAACAACAGCACTACTAAGATGCACCCTTGGCTCCGGGCCAAGAGAAGAAAAGGGGGGCTTTCTCTCATAAGAAGATAGTCACCACATTTAAACTATGTTATAACCTTTTAAGTCTGCCTTCTGGGAACCTTTGTGTGAACAGATGATTACTTGCGAGTAAGTGTTTTATACTTTACAGAAGACGGTGTAGCGTCTAATTTTAGGAGAGATTAAATGGGGAAAATACCCGGAAATATTTACAGAGACTCTAACGAGTCTGAGCAAGCTATCTGCTGTGCATGTGTTTAAAAAAGGGGAATGTTAACTCTGCTGATTTTGTTGAACTTGTAAAGACGAGTTGGGATAGGATATCTTAGACAATATATGCTCCCCCGCATCCCTAAACATTCCCACATTCAGGAGCTAAAGCGTTTGTCAACCAAGGTACGACTGTACCTCCCCACAGAGGTGCATCTAGCATCTTCATTGTACAGCTCTCACATTGGGCTAAAGAGATCTCTTTCCCCTGCCCTTTGAAAATTAAGCTGTTTTGTGGAACCATCCCATACCGTTTTGTACACTGCACTGTTCCATTTGGAACGCTTTTGTGTGCATTATAATTGTAATGGTTTTATCTGTTTTTATAACTGTATATTCTGTTATTGTAACTCCACCCATCTTATGCTGAAGGGCAGGTAAGAAGTTTTATAAATAAGTATAGGTAAATAAGCTGTGTGCTGAAGGGCTAATAATGCACATAGCTTCCTTACACATTTGTCTTCAATTCCAGGGGAATTGGTTTTAGTCTATCGATCTATGGACTCTTGTCTAGGCCAGTTTTCTCTAGAAGCAATGTCAAGGATTGAATGGTAACACCCAATATATCAAGGCATACAGGCGGCATTTCAAGGCACCTGCTTTGTCTTGTAACGCCTTCTCCAAGTCCTTTTGAACACGTAGTACTTTGGCTTTGATGGAAGCCTGTCTCCTCTCTTTTTCGATGAGGCTCGTAGCGTCTTCCTCCTTTTTGCAGGAAAACAAACCCACGTTTTAGACATGCAGTTCAGATGGAAAAGAAAAAATGCATCCAAGCAGGAAGGTGTTTAGTAGAAGTGCAGAAGTACAATGAAGCCTGCATTTGGTACTACTCTAAACTCAAGCACGCATTGAGTGTTGACACTGGCACGGTCTGCACAAATCAAGTCCAAGTGACAACACGCTTGACTTCACCGTGGCTTCATGCACTACAAAATGTTTCAGTATTTAGTCTCAGATTTAAAAAAGCAGTACTGATGGCAATAGCTCAGTTGGTAGAGCATACAACTCTTAATTTCAGGGTTGTGGGCTTGAGCCACAAGTTGGGCAAAAGATTCCTTCCAACTCTACAATTCTCTGATTCTAAGGCAAGGCAGTGATCCATCAAAGCACTTAGACCCCGAGAGCATTTTCTTAGAAAAGGAAGATGACTGTCCTATCAGCCAGAAATTATGGGTCTCATGGTATTCTGGCAATCACAGGTGAAGGCAGTAGAGATTAGCAAGCACTAAACTAAATTGCATATTTCTGTCCAAACTCTAGTTTTCTGAGAGGGCCACTTAGCAGAGGTGGTAAAAGGTAGCAGACCAGGCCCAACATCTTTCTAAAGTTGACTTATTGGGATGTTCTGTTGCCCACAGGCATCAACTGTCCTGCACTCAATCTTTTTGCCCTCCATATTGGCAACTGGGGCAAGCTGGTCCCACTTAGAATATTACAGATTTGCCCTGGGGCTTTCAATTCCTGATCCCTAGTCAAGTCTCCAGGCCCCAAGCAATGCAGTTAGAATAAATCAAATAGTGTTATTTACTCAATATTGGATTGTGCTAAATTATTCTCAATATGAAATAATTTGATTGCACGCATGCAGCAATATTATGAGTCGCTCGGCAAATCGCCATTTCTAGTAACAGAACTAGCATACAAATGTGACGTAGCATACAAATGTTACTTTTGCAGAACTTCCTTTCTCTTTGTCTTGAAATGTTAGTTTTATGGTGCAACAAAGCAAGGGTGGTACATCAGAAGAAGCAGACACTCTGAAATTATGCACAAGCATGGATGTTATCAGAAAGATGATTTGAAAGAAGGTTCGTTAAAAATCAGTGAAACGTTTAACACATCTCTGATTCTGTCTGGTCCCCAAAACTAATGAACAGGGTAATTCCCTTGGAATTCTGATGCTTGCCCATTGTGTGTGTGTGTGTGTGTGTGTGTGTGTGTGGTGTATGAGGGACGCGGGTGGCGCTGTGGGTAAAACCTCAGTGCCTAGGACTTGCCAATCGCATGGTCGGTGGTTCGAATCCCCGCGGCGGGGTGCGCTCCCGTCGTTCGGTCCCAGCGCCTGCCACCTAGCAGTTCGAAAGCACCCCGGGTGCAAGTAGATAAATAGGGACCGCTTACCAGCGGGAAGGTAAACGGCGTTTCCATGTGCGGCTCTGGCTTGCCAGATGCAGCTTGTCACACTGGCCACGTGACCTGGAAGTGTCTGCGGACAGCGCTGGCCCCCCGGCCTATAGAGTGAGATGAGCGCACAACCCTAGAGTCTGGCAAGACTGGCCCGTACGGGCAGGGGTACCTTTACCTTTACATATATATATATGCTCCCATTGCTCAGTCCCTGCTCCTGCCAACCTAGCAGTTCGAAAGCACGAAGTGCAAGTAGATAAATAGGTACCACTCCGGCAGGAAGGTAAATGGCGTTTCCGTGCGCTGCTCTGGTTCGCCAGAAGTGGCTTAGTCATGCTGTACACCGGCTCCCTCGGCCAATAAAGCGAGATGAGTGCCTCAACCCCAGAGTCAGCCATGACTGGACCTAACGGTCAGGGGTCCCTTTACCTACATACACACACACACACACACACACACACACACACACACACATTTTTATTAGGGTTTTTTTAACATACCATTTTTCAACAATAATTAAACACATTTTTACATCTTATTCAGTTTTTTATATCAGTCCTGTCTGAAAATTTTCCAATCTAATCTCTTAGTATACATTTCTTATTTTCCCTGTTACATTTAAAACTCATAACCAATATCTCTATTCTATATCTACTTTGTAGCACTTCATATATTCCTCCTTACAAAACTTCTTGTAGTCCTACTAGCATAATTTGTTCTTTACAATTGCTCTTCAAATAGTTCATATACTTCTTCCAATCTTCTGTAAATCTCTGGTCCCGCAGGTTTCAAATCCTTCCTGTCATTTTGTCCAATTCTGCATAGTCCATTAATTTCGTCTGCCATTCTTCTTTCGTCAGAATTTCTTCTTGTTTCCATTTCTCGGATAACAATACTCTTGCCGCAGTTGTTGCATATAAAAACAATTAACATCTTGCCTATTAATGTCCACAGTCAATGTTATTTTGAACTCGCTTTTCAATCTGTTCGCACTAATGCCTGGTTTTTGACTGTAAGTGCTTTGCTGACCACAATCTTCTCCTACCAATGTGGTGATCATTTTAACTGAAAAGTGGAAGAGAAGCAGCTGAACTGGTGGAGCATATGAATTGCCAGCTCATATATGAGTCAAGAGATTCTCCTTCACTGGAAATTTTTAAGCAGAGTGGGATGGTCATCTACCCTTGATGCTTTAGTTTGAGATTCCTGCATTGCAGGGGGTGGACTGGATGACCCCAGGGGTCCCTTCCATTTCATGATCCTAAGGGCTGCTGAATTGATGCTTTTGAATTCTGGTGCTGGAGGAGACTCCCATGGACTGCAAGAAGATCAAACCTCTGCATTCTGAAGGAAATCAGCCCTGAGTGCTCACTGGAAGGACAGATCCTGAAGCTGAGGCTCCAAGACCACCTCACGAGAAGAGAAGACTCCCTGGAAAAGACCCTGATGTTGGGAAAGATTGAGGGCACAAGGTCTGGCAGGGCAAAAAGCCCAGAATAAAATTTAAGATTTTAACTGATGCGAAAGATAGAGGGGGCTTTGCCCTGCCAGACTTAAGACTTTATTATGAATCAGCAGCATTTTGCTGGTTGAAGCAATGGCTACTTCTGGAGGATACAGACATTTTGGACCTGGAGGGATATGACAATAGTTTTGGCTGGCATGCATATTTGTGGTATGACAAGGTAAAGGTGCACAAAAGTTTTAAAAACCATATTGTTAGAAAAGCACTGTATAATGTTTGGAATAGATATAAGGATTTATTGGAAAGCAAAACCCCCAGGTGGTTGTCACCAATGGAAGCTAAGGCAGTGAAAAAACTCAACATGGACTCTAATTGGCCTAAATATTGCGAAATTTTAGAACAAGATGGTGAAAAGTTGAAGCTTCAAAGTTTTGAGAAGCTAAAGCATAAGGTTCGAGACTGGTTACATTATCGTCAGATAAATGAGACATTTAAGCAGGACAGGAAACTTGGTTTTCAGAAGGAGAGGTCAAAGTTAGAAACAGAATTGCTAGAACCCAATACTAAGAATTTATCTAAAATGTATAATTTGCTGCTGAAATGGAACACACAGGATGAAACGGTGAAATCAGCTATGATTAAATGGGCACAGGATATTGGTCATGATATTATGTTTGCTGACTGGAACAGTTATGGACCACCGGCATTAAATTTACGGCATGTACTGCCTTGAAAGAGAACATAATGAAAATGATCTATAGGTGGTACATGACCCCGGTCAAGCTTGCAAAGATCTATCATTTGCCCAATAACAAATGTTGGAAATGTAATGAGACTGAAGGTACATTTTATCATCTTTGGTGGACCTGCCCAAAGATTAAGGCCTACTGGGAAATGATCTATAATGAAATTAAGAAAGTCCTTAAGTGGACATTTGCAAAGAAACCGGAGGCTTTTCTCTTGGGCATGGTCGGTCAATTGGTACCAAAGAGAGATAAGACATTTTTTATGTATGCAACCACAGCAGCAAGAATCCTGTTGGCAAAGTATTGGAAGACGCAAGAACTACCTACTCTGGAAGAATGGCAGACGAAGGTGACGGAATATATGGGACTGGCAGAGATGACCGGCAGAATCCGTGACCAGAGGAAAGAGACAGTGGAGGAGGACTGGAGGAATTTTAAAATATATCTCAAAAACTATTGTAAAATTGTGGACTGATAAGATGTTAAGGGGTAAGAAACAAAGAACTACAGCTGTAAATGTTAAAACTTACGTAAATTTAAAAGAGACTTGATTAAAAACTGACCGAAGGGTTGCTTAAAAAAGGCTAAAATAAGGATGTGGTGAAAGGAAGGTATGGGGAAGTCAAATTTTTGTGGTGTGTTTTTGATGTATGTGGTTTGTTTGTATTGTCTTTTGTATGTGTAAAAAACCAATAAAAACTTTATTAAAAAAAAAAAAGATTGAGGGCACAAGGAGAAGGGGACAACAGAGGACAAGATGGTGGGACAGTGTTCTCGAAGCTACCAGCATGAGTTTGACCAAACTGCAGGAGGCAGTGGAAGACAGGAGTGCCTGGTGTGCTCTGGTCAATGGGGTCATGAAGAGTCAGACAAGACTAAACGACTAAACAACAACAACAAGGGCTGCAAATTTTTGGTCTTTCACAACATAGACCCTTTTAAGATTTTGTGGAAAGAAATCTGAGTAGCATTAAGCAGACCACTCAACAACAACAACAACAATTTATTTGCTTCCAACAAATTATAAAACCACAGTAAAATGTCACACATTCAAATCATATATCAGACATCTCTGCTTGCCTGATGGAACAAGAGACAACCATTTTATGATAATGATGATTTAATTTCTATACTGCTTATGGTAATATATTTCTTTAAAAAATCTCTAAGTGGTCTTGGTGGTAACCATTATCAAGTCTGCAGGGAGACTTTCGTTATTAAGATTTTTATATATTATTGTGACTCTGTAGTCTGAATTCCAAATCCATTGTTTTCTTCCATTGACAAAAGGGCTGGGCAGAGAAATTTGAATGGGTGTAATCTGCCTCTTGTGAAAGCGTTCCTTTGAAGGAATGCACATCTGAATGTCAGGTGTTTGCTGTTGATTATTAAAATTGGCTTAATTTCGCCTTTGGACTTCTTAATAAAAAAAAAAGTATTTGGTGCCACCCCACCAACACATCTCAGCTATTCAGAGATGGGGGGCGGGGAGGGAGATTTGACTAGGTAAAATCCACCCCATGTGAAAGAGGCTGCATGGCCTGTAATAACATTTTTTATTGGACTTTAGATGCTACTCTCCTTTACAGAGTGGCGCTTTATGCTTCGTCCCCATCCTGCTGCCCAGACAGCACACATCAGCTTTTAAATCTTCTTCTCCTGCCTATGAAAATTTATGGCGGCTCTCAGACAGGCTTGGCTTAGAGCCATTGACCTTTGTGGCCTGACTCATTGACCAGAACACAGCATCCTCAGCCCACAACCGTATCTGTCTCTTTTTATCTCCCCGAAAGAAAAGGAAACGGCTTTCCAAATGACCAGGAACCCAGTAATAAAGATGGGAGCTATCTCTGCATTTTGTCGAAATGCGGGGGGGGGGGGGGAGGGCAGGACTGGCCCTTGGAGGGAAATGATAGACGTGATCCACAGACTCACTCAGCAGAACTTTGACACACACACACACACACACCCTGTTCACAACCCATTTGGGAACAGCAATACACAGCTCCCCCCGAATGACCTGAGCATTTGCAACATGTAATTAACCAAAAGAGTGATGGTTTTTATGGCTAATCAATAGTAGATAATAGAGGGTGTAGATCAATCAGTAAGCCTCCAGAGGCCAATGCCAAATTCTCTGGAATGAAAACCATTGCAGACTCCAGATTCCGAGCACACAACCCGCAAACAATTATTTTAAAGCGCTCATTGACTTGCGTGTTAGTTTATGATTGAGCCCTTTTGTCTTACTAATTCGTTTAGTACATTTCTTTGTTCTTTAACTTCGGCTACACACCCACCATACATTCAAGCATGCGACTTCAAAAGTACAGTTCCCAGGATTCTTTGGGGGCAAGTCATGTGCTTTCAGTATATAGCATTTACGCTGTTTTATTCTCTACTCCGTTGCTCACTTAGTTGCTTACACACTTTGGGTTATAGCACATGTGAGCCATACTCAGAGTAGAACCACTGAAATAACAGAATCATAGAGTTGGAAAAGACCATGAGGGTCCTTTAGTCCAGTGTTTCCCAAGCGGTGTTCCGCGGCACAGTAGTGTGCCGCGAGACCTTGCCTGGTGTGCCGTGGGAGGGAGGCGGGCGAGTTGGGCGGCGAGAGGCGGGGCGGCGGCGGCGAGGATCCGCATCGAGCCGGGGGCGGCTCCGCGGTGGTGGTGCCGAGGTTTCTCTCTCCATTCTCCCCTCACACACACACACAGGAAATAACACAGGATCAGCTGACAGGACCCGGCCAATGGGGCGGCGGCGGGCAGCGCGCGCAAAAGGGAGGAGCGCGAGACAGCGGACGAGGAGGAGGCCGGCATGTCCGGGCAGCAGCAGCAACAGCAGCAGCAGCAACTCCCGGCGACGGCTCCTCAAGCCCCGGGCAACCCTACTCCCTCACCGGCCTCGGCCGCCCTCCTGCTCCACCCGCCGCCGCCCCCTCCTCCGCCCGCTATCGCCGCCACCACCACAACAGCCGCCGCTGCCTCAGCTGGGCCCATGCCTGCCGGGAGCGGCGGCGGCAGCAGCAGCAAGCAGCGCCCCGGCGCCCTTCCCTCACGGCGGCGACCCGGCCCTGCAGTGGCGTAGCGTGGGGGGTGCAGGGGGGGGCCGGCCGCACCGGGCGCAACATCTGCGGGGGGCGCACTCGCAGCTCTCTGCCCCTCCCGAGGTTTCTGGGTTAGCGGAGTCTGTAACCTGAAGCGTATGTAACCCGAGGTACCACTGTACTTCCAAGTCAGCGTGCAAGGGATTGCAGGACCGGCGGACTTGGCGGTGGGGGTGGTTGCTGGAGCCTTGTCTGTCCTTTCAGCCCCGCACCCACCGCAGACCCCTTCCTATGCCACTGGTAGCTAGGTGAGGCGGGGGGCACTGGGCGCCACACTCGGCGCCTGCAGCGTGCCTGAGCCATGCGTCTGCGGGCGAACTGCCCGCAAGCTTCGCTCTGGCCTCTGCCCACCGCCTCAGCCTCCCTACAGCTGAGGGGGAGGCTGCAGCAAGGCTCCACGCAGCGCGCCCTGCCATGGCTCGCCCCCATGGCACTCGCCCCTGGCTGCAGGACGCGCGCGCCGCCCCGGGCCCCTGAGCGGCTAGCTGCGCCGCTGGCTGAGCGCAAGGAATACGTCCTCTCCGAGTTCGGCGTCCTCTTCGTGGGCAGCGCGAACCGCATCTCCAGCTTCGGGTGGAACTTTGGCCAGGTAGGGGGAAGCCTTTGGGCGGGGGGGGTGGAGACCGGGAGGGGTTAGGAGAGACGCTACCGGCGCCGTCCAGAAATGCCCAGAGCAACTGGAGCTCAGCTACGCGCACACATGCGCCCTCCAAATCCCGTTTCCCACCCCTTTCTCAAAAGAAGAGAGAAAAAATGGGTCCTGGGTGTGAAACCAAAGGACCTTTCCAGCTCCTCCTCAATTCCAGGTGTGGATGGCAATGCCTCGTGTCTCCTCCCCCGCGACCAGAGCACACTTCCTAGCTGGTTGGACGGTCCCTGGGGGTCTTCGGGTTGCCATATTTTGAAGAGCAAAAAACAGGACACATTTGTCGACTTCTGCTTTTAGCTATGGATCAGTGGCCTAGCGTGGGGGGCAGGGGGGGCCGGCCACACCGGGCGCAACATCTGGGGGTTAGTGTTAGGGGGCGCAAATCCACGGGTTAGGGGGCGCAAATTACCTTGCATTGCCCTGGGTGCTGACAACCCACGCTACGCCACTGCGGCCCTGAACGAGCAGGAGAAGGAGCTCAAGTGACGCTGCGCGCTGACGTCACGGGGCTGTAATGGTGGTGTGCCTCAGAGATTTTTTTCATCAAACAAGTGTGCCTTTGCCCAAAAAAGGTTGGGAAACCATGACCTATAGAAGCAAATCCACCAGAGATCATCCAGTGAAGGATGTCAATCTAATCCTAGGCAGCCTGAAGCAGAGAATACCTGGACAGGGACAACTGTGCCTTCAGCCTTTATTTTTGAGAATCTGGTGCAACAGAAGTCAAACATCTATACTTTCTTCCACCCATAGTGAAAGTACTTGCAAACACTTACGTTATAGTAGTGCCTCGTCCCAAGCTGTTTCCTCGAGGATCATCAATTACAGAGAATTCATTTGAGTCAGATTCCCAGATGTGTTGAGTGTCGTTGTTGTGCTTTGATGTGACAATCACCCTGTCTGCCACAAGGAAAGCTGAGTAGAAGCCAACACCAAACTGACCAATCAACTCAGAAGTTGACTGGTTCTCTTCCTGCATCTCAGTTATCTTACTTAGAAATTCACTTGTACCAGACTTGGCAATGGTACCCAGGTTTTTTATTAGTTCTTCTTTAGTCATGCCAATGCCAGTGTCTGTAACATGAAGCATATTCTTCTCTTTATCACACTGTAAAACCAAACAAACAACCCAGTCTGAGTGATTTATCACTTTAACATATCACTGTTTGAATGGTCTCATGTACATGCTTTATAACTGATTACATTGCAGACAGTGCAGGAACATTAGATTTCCTTCAGCCAGTCTTTTCCTTTATATGCAGTAAGAAAATAGCATGATGTCACTTCCTAATTTATGGTTCATACTCCACCATGTGTTGCTGGACTACAGCTCCCACCATCCTTGACCACAGGTCATGCTGGTGGGAGTGGGAATCCAACAGTATCTGGAGGACTACAGGTTTCCCACCCATTTTTAAAATATCTTCTCAAAAGTAGCTTAAAATTATTTTAATAGTAACACACACCCTCCAAAACTGCTGAAGGAATCAAAGTGGCATCTTACCTTGATTTTTATTGTGAGTTCTTCATTACCAGAAGAGCTTTTTCATCAGTTAGTGAAAGCAGTCGTATTTTGTCTAGAGCATCAGATGCATTTTGAATCAATTCCCTCAAGAAGATCTGGAGTGAAATTAAAAAAAACAGTCAGGTAAATGTACATACAAAAATCTATATAAACTCATGTCTCATATTATATATAGCTTACTCCTCTTTATTTTTGTAAAGAGAGTTGATAATAAGCTTCATCATTCTGTTTATTCAGCCTGGAATGCAACTTTTCTGACTTCTCTCTAATTTGCTTGATTTGGGATGCATTTAAACCATCTAACTGATAGACTCCTCTTCCCTGTAGACAGAATACCAGGTTATCCATAAGATTTTTTTTCTCCAAGTAGCAGTAAACTGATTTTTTCTGCAAACATAAATGTATGTTCCTTTGATGCAATTAGAATGCCTCCAATACACAGGCGAACCAGATGGCCCACTACACTAGCAGTGTTTCTTTTGTGCAAGCAGAAGGACATAATTTAATGTCACAAAGTTTCCTGACATGATCAATTGGTCTCATTTGATCCAGTGTGGTTTAGTGGTTAAGAGCAGTAGACTCGTAATCTGGTGAACCGGGTTCGCGTCTCTGCTCCTCCACATGCAGCTGCTGGGTGACCTTGGGCTAGTCGTACTTCTCTGAAGTCTCTCAGCCTCACTCACCTCACAGAGTGTTTGTTGTGGGGGATGAAGGGAAAGGAGAATGTTAGCCGCTTTTGAGACTCCTTAGGGTAGTGATAAAGCGGATATCAAATCCAAACTCCTCTTCTTCTCACAACAAAGCCAAGCAGCTTGTAAAAGATGATGCTTCCTGTGGCCATACACATGCCAAATGCTACAGAAACAGCACTTGACAGGTTTTATCCCCCGCCACTCATGTATTATCAGTTTCTATTTTCGTTGCGACTATTTTCCAATGTAGTTTTCTGATTTGCATGTTCATGACATCTCTAGGTTGCAAAGTCCCAAAATACCTACACAATGGAAACCGTTGCCTTCTTGTTTTATGCAATTGCAGTTTTCACTGCAAGCGAGGTCAGTGTTAAATAAGCATTCAATGTCTTAGGCACACTAGTCCTCTTTTGGAAAAGTAAATATGCCTACTGGATTAAGACTTCATTTTAACAATAGTTTATTTAACAAAGCACCAGTACTCACAATTAGATTATGACCTAGAACACTTTGTGCAAGTTACTTTGTGTTTGATAAGGTAGCATTTTTTCCAATTTGCCAGTTAAGAAGCTGGCAAACATTCCACAAGTATGTCAGTGTGCAACCTCATGAAGTCAATCATTTTTAAACAAGGTATTAAATTTGCACTGCAATCCCAACTACCTCTATTTGAAGGTTTGTTTCATTTAAAGTAATATGAGGGGAAAGTATTGAAAGAATGAATTTTAAAACAAACCTCTGAACAACTTCATCATCGGTTCGAGATCCTTCCCTGCTTTTACCAAGGTCATCTTCCACTGTGCCATCTACATCTACCTCATCAGCTTGGACTGAGGCTGCAAAACGAGTAATTTGAACACATTAATATCAAAACAGTCGCTCAAAGGAAACTTGCTGATCTGTACACCAGAAACAAGGAAACATCTTAGGTTCAAGTAGGAAGTGGGACCCACCAAGCCCTCCATTCCTTGTTTGATACAGGCTTGCACCGCTCCAGATATTTGTTGTAACATCGATGTGGAATCTCTCTCAAATAAATGCATAGCAGGGTATATGGGAAGTTGAAAACCATTTTGAATGAAAAAGCAAAGCTGATGAAGCAATCTCAAGCCACCCTCAGCATTAAGTGCGATTGGCCAAGAGAGCCAACTGAAAGGGGCAGCACCAAGGACCAGCTACAAAGTTCTGTCAAATTTCAGACGGATGGTAAAGAGAAGCTGCTGCGCAGGCAGGCAGCAAATGATGGTCCCAAGAGAGAACAGTGAAGTCATCTCTCTGCTCAGCCTTCCTTGCTTAGTTAGCATAGTAGATGGAGCCTTAGGATAAACGTGCTGGGAAGCGACAAACATGGCTGCTATCCCCATACCAATGCCCCAGTCTATTAGAAAACTTAAGTTAGAATTACAGTCCTCCTGCGAACCACTTTTACTTCATTCTTCACCCACAATGAGGAATGACAACCCACCACAAAGGTCTCCTGCTGGGGCAGATATCGAAGTGTTCTTAATGAATACTTAAGGGGGGGAAACTTCGCCTCTCCCCTAATCGTCATTAAAAATCCTTTCAACCCTCCCCCCCGCCCCCAAAATCCCTTTTTGATATACAGAGACTGAATTAACAACGGATCTTCCAACAGCCAAGTACATGCCACACACTTTTCGCACACCCGTTTCCTCAGAAGTTAAAGCGCCCCTCGGGACTGGCTGCGCGGTGAAGGCCTAAGGCCTTAAGATTCAGCAGGACATCCTCAGAAAGTTAAGCCTCCCTGAGGGAGGACCGTTACACACACGAACTCTCTCTCTCAACCGCCGCCCACAATTTAAGTACCTTCCTCCTCACCGGGGGGGGGGGGGAGTATGAAACGAGGACGTCCGTCCCCTCAAAAACACAATACAAACTTATGTCCTGAGGTAAATAGAGTAAGCCCAAGGACAGGGCGGCTGAGGGGAGGTCGCGCCCTCAACGGTCCCGCTCGCCCACCCGCCGAACCTTCCAGAAACGCCTCCATCCCCCACCGTCGCTCACCGGCCAGGAGGAGAACGCAGAGGAGGCCGAGACCCCAAAGCGGCTTCATTGCAGCGGTGCTACCCTGGAGCGGCTACGGCGGCACACCTGCTTCCCACGCGCTCCCACAAGGAAAGGGACCGGGAACCGTCGAGGGAAAGGAATTAAAAGCCCTCCCCCCTCACTGAGAGGCTTCCTTCCACGCGCGCCCCTTGGACGACCAAAGCGACTAATCAACGTCAACCCGCCTCCCTCCTCTCAGGCTTATCACCAGCAAACGCCGCGGGGTGGGGGGGAAGAGGTCCCTCGCCCTGGCCAATGGCAGCGCACCACGCCAAACACGCAGCCAGTAGGAAAGTTGGAGGGGAGGGGCGGAGTTCGCCCCCTGCCAATCGGAGCCTTCCAGGTGAGGTTTCCCGGCGCCGGAGCGTGGCTGGGTGCGATTGGCTGTTGCTATGCTGATGAGCCAATGGGTGTCAAGGGCGGGAGCAGCAGGCCTTAGTTACTGTCTGGTTTTTCAAATTATGTTTTTTAAAAGTTTATTTGCCGGCTTTCTGTCTCTGGCTGTATCCCTGACAACTAAGCATGAGATCTGACGTATTCTTTTTTTTCTCTTAAAAAATGTACAGATGCACGTTTTAGGGACCCGACCATGTAGTTCCGGGGCAGGTTGGACAAAAACTACACGTTACTATGACAACTTTCACTTCCGCTTTCCTACGCCTCACGTCAAACGATGTAATTAAAGTAGATAATAGGGAATGAATTAACAGGACGGCTGTTCTTCAGCATCAGTTTTCCTCTCAGAAATGTATTTCTAGAGCTAGTTGTAAAAAAAATAAAAAGTTGTTGTAAAAAAAGGTCTAAAATAAAGTCTGCAAGGATGGTCCCATCATGCAATGCTCTATAGGGTCGCTGTGTAGGTGCAGGCCCACAATTGGTTTTCTTGCTTACGTCATTCCTGTTTTGCATGCTGGGACCGCCCTCTTACATTGCCCTGTGGGAGTTGTAGTCCTTTAAAGAAAATACATTGACTACACTTGACTTTTTGAGGTTCTTAAAGGCATGGGACACCTCAGTAGGCGGACTGCTGACTTTTAATTTGAAACAGCTTTAATTTGATTCACGCATTAGGACAAACCACTGTAAAGATTTCCTTAAGTTTCATAAACTTTATCACCAGTACTGCGAGGGAACCTCAGCAAAAGAAGAATGCTGAGGGTCTCTGATTCACTCCCTGGCCTCTACAGGGAGGGCTAGGAATAGCCTTCTGCCTGAAGCCCTGGAGAGAGTCACTGCTAGTCAGTGTACACAATACTGAACTTAATGTATTCCATGTAAAAATACTCCTACAGATAGAAAACTTGCACAAGGAGGAGAAGGCTAGGTTAGAACCTTTCTCCCAACCATCTAGTTTTCCATGTGGAGGGATTTCGTTTTTATTTGTGTGGTATGAGGGAGAACAATTCCTATCCTGTGAGACCCTACCTGCACTGTGAAATAGTACAGCCCCATTCAAAGATTGGTTGTATCAGTATTTTCTTGGTGTACAAGAGTGCACAACTGTTGCACGCTCGACACTTCTAAGCAATGAGAAGTTGCAGAGGCTACACTGTTGGACTTGGTGTCTATGGGAGGAGAGAGCTGAAGTTTGCAGTGGCTTTGTAGTATTTGTTTTATTTATTAACATTTAAGTTTTGTTGCAATTGCCTGAATTTAGTAGCACTGAGCAGAAGCGTACTGTATCTGCTTGTAACAGCAGAACATCTGGCAATTAGCCTTTTCCCCCTAGAGCTACTTGTTGGAGCATGCTCAGTATGTAGTATTTCTGGTTGGGCTGACTTCTGATCTGGCCAAGAACGGCATGGACAGGTTTGCTGACTCTGTTAATTTACAAACTGGTTTTTACTATTTGGAGGTATGTATTAAAAGTATTCATTAAGTGTTCTCCTTAAGATAATGAAATTAATATATTTGTTTTAGGAGTGGTTAGATGTTTTTTTTATTTAATCAATGTGGTATCCAGGATTTGGGATCCTGGAAAAATCCAAACAGAAACTGAGCCTAGGTAAAAATGAAATAAAAACATTTAAAAATAGAAAGTCTGAACCTAAGGTAGCAAGAGCTATACAAAAAGTAGGCGGAAAACTCAGAAGAGAAGAAAGCAGCCCAGTGTAAAATTATTACAGGTAGCAATAATTAAATCTAAAAGCAAAGTTTTCCTTCCTGTTTGTGTGTTTCAGAGAAGAGATGAGTTACAGCACAAAAATACATTAGAAAAAGCTGCTTGAGTATAAAAGAGATGAAGTCAATGTGAAGTTCAGAAAAGAAACTGTCACGTCTCTCTGTTCCCCAACATCCTAGAAACCTTTTCCCGATTCCATTTTAATACCCCACCCCACTCTACCCTCACTCACAACAAAACTTGTTTCTGTATTGGTGAATAGAAGGTGACCTGCACAAACAGTTTTCCATTGTTTTAGGAGTTATCATGATACAAGTCTTATCAGGGTATAGAGAGTCTCAAGGTCGTCACCCAGTGCCTCATGGAGCAAAACGTATTCTGCCTCTTTCACACTAGTGCATTGTCTTAGTGTGACTAAGGCATTGTCAGCATTTCTGCTTCTTGTACACTCCAGAAAAACATATCTACCCCTAGCTTAAAACAGGCATCCAGGGCTATTTCCATTAAGAGCCAGAGTCTCAGTCTTGACCAAAGTTTTATTCCGTTCCATAGTTTCTGGGAGAATCACCTTCAGCCTGCACATATTGCCCTCCTAATCCGCAGCCAAGCTCATTAGCACCACTGATAGCACACAGCCATTTGAAGCTGCCAAAAGTTCTATCTAGACCACTGTTGTCTATTCAAGACGGTCAGCAGGTCACAACGATCCTTGGCAGGGATCTTCCCTTTCCTTCTGGTATTTTTCGTCTTGCCTCTCAAAATTATTTTACCCAGACATACCAGGAACTGAACCTGGGACCTTGTGCATGCAAACTGTGTGTTCTACCACCAAATTCTGTAGTGTGTTTTATCAACTGTAGAACACTATTTAGACATGTTCCAGTTAACCACCAGAGGAACCTCCAACAACAAAAACACCTGCTTGCTTCTTCACACAACTGGTAAGCCACAGTCTCAAAGCTACAGCCCTATATTCTGACACTTGAGGTTTTAGCTACCAGAGTAAGGTTGCTACAGCAACATATAAAATAGGACATAACTATTGCCACAAGACACTTAAAAAGTGTGATAAGCAATGTTAATCAAACTCAGAGTAGGCCCATTTAAATCAATGAACTGAAGCAATGTACTGAGTGTGACTTAGATATATACTGTACAGTGGTACCTCGGGTTACATACGCTTCAGGTTACAGACTCTGCTAACCCAGAAATAGTACCTCGGGTTAAGAACTTTGCTTCAGGATGAGAACAGAAATCATGCAGCGGTGGCGTGGCAGCAGTGGGAGGCCCCATTAGCTAAAGTGGTGCTTCCGGTTAAGAACAGTTTCAGGTTAAGAACGGACCTCCGGAATGAATTAAGTACGTAACCCGAGGTACCACTGTACTGCCTTTCTGTCCAGATTTGCCTCCCGTGTTTATAAGTGAACCTCAAGGCCCACAATTCGCCTTCACTAGAGATATCTGAAAAGTGGGACGCGGGTGGCGCTGTGGGTAAAAGCCTCAGCGCCTAGGGCTTGCCGATCGAAAGGTTGGCGGTTTGAATCTCCGCGGCAGGGTGCGCTCCCGTTGCTCGGTCCCAGCGCCTGCCAACCTAGCAGTTCGAAAGCACCCCAGGTGCAAGTAGATAAATAGGGACCGCTTACTGGCGGGAAGGTAAACGGCGTTTCCGTGTGCTGCGCTGGCTCGCCAGATGCAGCTTTGTCACGCTGGCCACGTGACCCGGAAGTGTCTCCGGACAGCGCTGGCCCCTGGCCTCTTGAGTGAGATGGGCGCACAACCCCAGAGTCTGGCAAGACTGGCCCGTACGGGCAGGGGTACCTTTACCTTTACCTTTAGAATACAAATACTGGATCCTGAACCGCAACATGTGAACCAACACTTAGTTGTCATGGAACGTGTCGGCCTGCTAAATGCATGCATATATATATATATATATATATATATATATATGAAATATATAAATGATAAATGATATATATATGATTATTTGCCTTTTAATGTTTCATTTAATGAAGTGCCTGTACAACGGTATTTATGCCAAGTACTGATATGACTTATTAAAAGCATTTGATGTCCCATTAAAAAAGGAAGTTCACAAACTGTACCAGCAAGTGTCTCACAGATTGCAAAATATTAATGTCATAGTCTTAGAATACATGGCACAACACCTGCTTCCAGCTTCATATACATGGAAGTAACCTGAAAGTTCAGAAAGTTACACAATTTGTCACCCAGAAAAACTAACACAGCATTGTGTGTCTCATTAATTTTCAAGGTGGCTTTCCTTATCTGCTATATGCCTTCTCTATTGTTTTTCTCCGTTGAACATTTGTAAACAGAAGTTCTCTCTCTTTTACTCTGCTTACTAATTATTTACTGGAGTGACAGAAACTAAAAAACACTGGATACCATAATGTTTTATAAACTAACTCTTAAGTAAAAATCAGTGGGACGCGGGTGGCGCTGTGGGTAAAAGCCTCAGCGCCTAGGGCTTGCCGATCAAAAGGTCGGCGGTTCGAATCCCCGCGGCGGGGTGCGCTCCCGTTGTTCGGTCCCAGCGCCTGCCAACCTAGCAGTTTGAAAGCACTCCCGGGTGCAAGTAGATAAATAGGGACCGCTTACTAGTGGGAAGGTAAACGGCGTTTCCGTGTGCGGCTCTGGCTCGCCAGAGCAGCGATGTCACGCTGGCCATGTGACCCGGAAGTGTCTCTGGACAGCGCTGGCCCCCGGCCTCTTGAGTGAGATGGGTGCACAACCCTAGAGTCTGTCAAGACTGGCCCGTACGGGCAGGGGTACCTTTACCTTTACCTTTAAGTAAAAATCAAGTCATGTAAGGGTTCTTCAGATACAGTACAGTAAGCAAAAACAAGAAGTGGATTCCCAAATGCCTATTTGGGCCATTTGCTTTATGCAAATGAATATTATGTGCAGGTGGGAATAGTTCACTATTTCAATTACAATACTAATACTCTGTACAGTATACACTATACATTTAAAACACATTCAAAATACATTATTTCCCTCAAATAATTCTGAACACTGCAGTTTACCCCTCACAGGGTTACAATTCCCAGCAACCCTCAAACTAC